AATCCTTATCTTGTAACCATTTTTTAAAAAAGAAAACGTTTTTGTACATAATACATTAATTAATAACTCCCTCTCCCAGGCGACCGGAGCTCCGTAGCTGGCGTTTCACCTTCCAGCAAGAGCCGCGGGTGATGTGTTGTCCTCTCCAAGATGCCCAGCAACCCACCCCAGCTCTGTCTGATGCCAGGCACAGACCCGGCGTGCCATAACCTCTGGCATCCTGACTTCTTGCCTGTCGTCTTATACCCAGTGCACACGGACAATCGAGTTCAGTCGAATTGAGTCGAGGCCAGCCGAATTTTCATCCATGATTGGGAAAGAGCTACCATTAATTTTGCACAATGTAGCCTTTGATTCGACAGGTGATTAAAAAAAAAAAAAACGTTAAACGTGTTTGACTTTGTAGGTCACAGTTGAATTAAGTCAAATTCGGTCAAATTATGCCACAATGATAGCTTTCGCTCATCCTTGGAGAAAAAAACTGGCTAGCACTGACTTAGTCAAATTCGATTGTCAGAGCCTGTATAATGTGCCGTAGGGCTGGAAACCGAGCACCGTCGAACGCGATACATAAAGGGCTAAAAGCTGCACTGAAAGAATGAGATTCATAAATAGCTCAACATTTTGGAAATCTCTCAAATTATTATAATAAAAGTCTCTCTCTCACTCCCTCTCTCTCTCTCTCACTCCCTCTCTCTCTCTCTCTCTCTCTCTCTCTCCCTCTCTCTCTCTCTCTCTCTCTCTCTCTCTCTCTCTCTCTCTCTCTCTCTCTCTCTCTCTCTCTCTCTCTCTCTCTCTCTCTCTCTCTCTCTCTCTCTTTCTCTAACTATCTGTGACTCTCTCCCTCTCTCTCTCTCTCTCTCTCTCTCTCTCTCTCTCTCTCTCTCTCTCTCTCTCTCTCTCTCTCTCTCTCTCTCTCTCCTAGCTCTTTGGCATCATAAATGGTCAACGATGCCGACAGCACGAAGGAACTCAATACTCGCTCGGGGGGTCCTTGAACATTGCTGATCGTGAGTCGTTGAAAAGTTCCAAGAAACGTGGTCGGTAGTCTTGTCCTCCTGATTGTAAGCCCGACCGAACGGATCTGATTTGTTTGCTGGCCCCATTTTATGTAGGTACGATCTCAGCTAGGGCAATTTTCCACCAGTTCTCATAGAATAATAGTTCCACGCTACTGCTGTTCGGTTTGTTAAAAGTGAATGATGTTTTAAAATTAATTTCGTTTTGTTGTTATCTTCCAAAAGGAATTGTTCCAAATATTTCTCTGTATTGTAATACATGTACCTCTAACGTTATTTTGACTTTAGGAAAATGTGTTTTTTATTTGGTTACATTCATTACAAAAGACCAAGTTATGAGTAAAATTATACAAGTGAATTGATACGATAACGATGATACAGTTGCAATTTGTTTGAAATTTACAGGACAATAAAAGCTGGTGACCACTCAAGCGTTTTCACTTTTATTCTTTGCAGGATTAAAGTAGATTTCAAAAGACCTATTGGGTGATTTTTCTTCAAAATGACAATCTCAACTTGTTGGATCCGCAGTAATTCTTGTTGCGTCATCCAAGTTGTAACAATATCGAAATCCATTTCGCACATCTCAAGATGAGCAAATATGGAAGCAAAGTGAAATATTTGCTTTTTATAGCGATTTTAAGGTGGGGGACTCAGTGAAACTTATACAGAAATGAAGCCCATGATACGCGCTTTCGATTGGTGAAAAAAAATGTTCGCTCCTAAATCATGATACCAGGATCTGGCTCTTATAGGACGATATCAAACATCAAACCAATGGACTTCCGTTCTAAGCATTTCTACACCCGCTTCTGTTCTGGGTGGTTGGCGGGCGCTCTGGTGTGGTTTGCTCTTTCTTTCTTATCAAACATAATATGTCGTTCTCATTTGTCCCCCTTTTTATGTTACTCTCTAGTAATACATATTTGGGAACTCATATGACCTATTTGGGATACAAGTTGTGTTAAACCTTGAGCTGTATCTGAAAACCATGGGTCTAGACGCGGGAGAACAGATACAGCAGTGCTAATGTACAATTTGAGAAGAGTACGTATCCGGCGGTATAGTAAACATGTTCCTTTTGTTTCTTTTAAGTAAGCCCACAATACACTGTCACTATATTCTACTCTATGCTAGTCCTCGGAAAATACAAATTCTCTCTCTCTCTCTCTCTCTCTCTCTCTCTCTCTCTCTCTCTCTCTCTCCCTCTTTCTCTCTCTCTCATTGTTTAAAAAAAAGAACGATATAATTAATTTCAACTTAGATATAGGGAGTGGGACGAGGTCATATGCATGTACGTCTGTATTCTTCATTGTCTTCAATGGAAATAGATTTTTTGCTTCAGTTTATTCCTTTTATTTCTTGAAATGGCGTCATCAAAACCGTGGCTACGTAGTGCATAAATTATAAATTTGCTTCCTACTTTACGGGCGGAAGTAGCTCTCATTGACTTACAGAGAACAACAAAGCCACACGGGTAGGAGCCATTAACCTGAGTCAGTGAACCAAAAGGTGAAATCTGGGGGGAGCTATTGTCTTAAAGGTACCAGTAAACGACTGTATCAGTAAGCACACATTAACCCTTTCCGTCTACGTTTGTACAGACAATATCTTCACTGTTGCCAGCAATCGACTTTAGCCCAAATTTTGAGAATTTTCGATTTTTCGATTTTCACATCCTCCCAAAGCAAGATCTATCAAAGATGCACCTTTCAAAATCTAAAAAATTGTTTATTGCTATGGTCAAGGCTTATTGAACAACACAACAAAAACTTTTGTCTCTGGTGTAAAAGTACCAAAACGGACTTACGTTGATTGCTAGCAACACCAATGATGTAGGGCCTATGATATTCATTCAAAAGAGATGTAAACAAATCGATAAATATAATAAATGTACTTCTCCTTATCAAGAATGTATATCCATTTTCTGTGAGAATTTTACTATAAAAAAACGAATATGAAAGGGGCAAAAAAATGTTAATTTGCAGTTTTCAAGGGCACTCAAGCTTTGGAAATCTATTTCCATATTACTAAATGGGTTTAATATCTTCAGGGTTATCTATAAAGCGATGGTGGATATAAGGTCCAGCTATGAAGGAACTAAGCCAATTGGGACGGAAGTGAAAACGCCCCCAAACAATCAGTATAGTATTACTTGTTCAAGAACGTTCTGTGGAAGAATCGAACAAGGGCAATCAGCACATCAGCCCAGCGGGATACCAACTGTGCTATTTGGACGCCCCCCCCTGAGAGGCAAAAACGTATAGACAATGTTTTATTATACTGTGATTTGAGTGATACATTAGCTTTTAAAATGAAGAACAAGGTTGCTCCGCGTTTCTAGTGTTAGTTGCTGACCTGCAGAGGCTTGCTGATATATTCCAGACTAATTTTTTTAATGTAACAACAACAGCAATAGCAATGTCAACAGCAATAGCAACAACAACAGCAACAGCAATAGCAGCAACAACAGCAACAGTAATAACAGCACCAACAAAACACAAAAAAAGCAATTCGACAACAGTAGCCCAAATTGCAAAGGCAACAATTAGGCAACTTGGAAGGAGACACCTGTTCCAACCCTATGGATTATTTTATTTTAATAAGAGTTTTACGCCACTTGCAGCACAAAAAGTCACATAGGGAGCCGAAGAGTAGAAGTGGTACTTGGGAGAAGCATACACAGGAAAGATGAAGAAGAGATAACGATATTATTTGATAGGAAGAAGGAGCAAACGACACCAGCATACATGCCAACTAACCAGAGAAATCTCTCGTCAGCATATCTCGAACACTATTGGAATCTCATATCTTCGAGGGCTGTTTTAATGTCTTCTTCTTGATTTTGTTGTTAATCTTCTAAAGTAGGCGAACTATCATTCGTGATTTGATGAGAAAGGGGAAGAAAGAATGGGCAACAATCTTGCACTGTAAAATTCAACTCAAAGTTTAACTTAGCAATACCGAAAATAACAATACATTCCCAATCCCACTTTTACTTTTACTTTTTCAGCCTTGGTTGCCGTTAAGCGTCATGGGGAGTTGTAATTTTCTATGGTAGGCCAGTCCTGCAGCTCTTTCAATTGGGATATTATAATATCTCAGTGTTTCCTTGACTCCCTCAATCCACATTTTGAGTGGCCTTCCTCTCCCTTTATAGCCTGAGTGCTTGGTGTTAGAGGCTCTCGAGGCTGGCTGGCTAGGTGACACACGTAACAGGTGGACAAACAATTTTATTCTCAGGTTTTCAATGAAATGCTGACAGGACGCAGTGTCAAAAATGATCTTACTTCTTCCTTTCTCGTCAGGGTTTTGCGGAGACATTTCATCTCGCATGCAGGGACAGTGCTTTCTTGAGCTTTACTTAATGTCCAGGTCTGGCACTGGTAGCATAATTTTGGTATAAATATAGAAGTGAAAAGATGTCTCTTTGTGTTCATGAAAATGTTTTGATGGCATAGGAGGCGTGCAAGCTGGTAGGTGGAACCACTCTGTATTGCTTTTGTTTGTTGTTACTGAGCTTCTGCTGCTGGTGTATACATGTATAGAGCTCTGACATTATCCAACAGTTGTCTTCTGAAGCCATACTTTCCGAGTGTCTTCTAGAGTTTAGCATTGTTTACTCTGTCGAAAGCCTTCACCTGGTGAAAGCGATGTTGGATTCTTTGTAGGCTATTCGGTGGTTTTCTCGCATAGCTGTCGTAATGCGAATACGGCTTCTGTGTTTCCTCTTCCCTTACGGAACTATGAATTTCGCTCAGGTTTTTTCCTCTACGATAGGTCTTATCCGCTATTCTAATATCTTGACGTATCGTTGCCACCCCTTCGTGGCTTAACCAAGAGATGCCTCTTTCTGTTTTGCAGTCGCGTTTGTAGTCTTTCTTTTTTTAAAATGGGACCTCTATAGCTTTCTTCCAGTCTTCTGGGCATTTCCTTTGCTCCCAGGATCTATTAAAAATTTGCCTCTGCCACAGCACGACGGTATTTCCACAAGCTCTTATGGCTTCTACTGTGATGTCATCTGGTCCTGTGGCTTTGTTCCTAGGAGCCAGGTTTGAGTGCCGTTTCGATTTCTCTGGACAGTATGGGTGGTTTTCTGTTTGCTTTCCATAAGATGGTTGGAACTCTTTTTGTTACCCGAGGCAAGCGTCTGGGTTGAGTAGTTCTTGGAATTAATTTTCCCATGTTTTCATAATGTCATGCTTGCTGAGAATGGCATTACCCTCCTTTTCGTTTATAATGCACTTCGAGTTTTATGGTTCTTTCTTTAATCGCATGCTGTTTACACTTCTTTTATTTCGTAAACCCTCTAGGGTTTTCCTTGCAGATTTTGGTCAGTTTCTCCGTGCATTTTCTTTAGCAATTTTGATAATTTAATTTTTTTTTTTTTTTTGGTCTTTCTTTTCGTTTACCTGAATTCTATATAAGCTGTTTTCGGTCTTTGACCTCTGCCATTTCTTGAATATCGTCTTTTTCATTTTGATTGCTTCTTTGGTCTGATAATTCCATCAGAATGTTGTTCTGCCTTTGTTTTCGCCTATTTGTTTAGTGCCACAACTGTTTTTCAGTCTTTCTGATGAGACTTTTTAAAATGTTTGCCATTCTTCTTCTACGTCTATGGTCTATGCCATCTTTATGTCTGAATCTTCGAATTTCTTAGGCTGGTCGTGGTTTTTTCCCCGTTCTTTTTTTTTTTTTTTTTTTTCTTTACATTGCTGGTTATGAGAATAAGTATAAAATGCCTGTGGTTCGTGTCGATAATGTAGTTCGATACCTCTCTAGAATCTTTGACTGCATGTCTTTATTTTATGCGCATCATGATGAAATCAATTTGTGATGCATCGTTTGGGTATTTCCATCTGCACCACGTCTTGATTTGGTTTGATCTGTGCAGACAAAATGTGTTTGTAATTATCTTGTCGCCCTCAGCGCATAGGTTTAGTATCCATTGCTGTTTCAGTTTGTATCTTTATCACTGTGTGGTCCCAAGTACGGTACTCTTCCCGGAGGGCTCTTATTTATCCAACTCTGCTATTTAGATCTCCCCCGATACATAGATCTTCTTTGTTCTTGATTGGACTAATGTGGTCAATCAGGTCTTGGAAATACGGCTGTCTCTTTTCTTCTCTATAGCTGTCGTTAAAAGGAGCCTATGAACGTACATTGTTTTTTTGCCACCCTCTATGACTTTTTTGCTTACTATTCTCTTTGAGATCTGGTTAATTTCATAGATTGTATTTATTTTGGCTGGGTGTATGGTGTTTAATTTTCCAGGTCCATTTCCTTTAGAATCAGTCCGTGTATCCTCCTTTTGGGTTTTTTCTCGTAGCAAAATTCATCCAACCAGAGCCTCTTTAGCCAGCAACGTTTCGGGGTGACCCTGGTCGGCTTTCAAGGCTGGAGTAACGCTTCAGTGACATAAAGTCACTCCGTACGTCACCAAGAACCAGCTGTCACCTACTTTGTCCTGTTTCAACCTCTTCCAACGGGGACGACAGGTTGAACTTTTGGAGGCCCCACTTCCCCCCAATGAAAACAAAACCAGAATGACACCCCAATGTTTTGTGCGCTGTTGGTGTGGACACCTAGATCTAATTGACAGCCATTGTTATAATCTTTCCGAAGTTGGAAAAGGAAGGAGAACAACATAGAGAACAACAGCACCTGTAGCAGCAAAAGCAGCAACAATTGCATCAACTACAGCAGCAACACAAACAACTAAGACAATAATAACAAAAAGAACAAAAGCAACAACGACAGTACAGCAACAGTAAAAACTGTAACAATAAAAACATCTATAATAGGCTCTCGGACTCGCATCCGTAAGGTCATGGGTTCGAATCCCGTCAGGGGCCCGACGTTGTGTCCTTGGGAAAGGCACTTTACACTTATTTTCCTCTCTTCACCCAGGTGGGAATGGGTACCCGGCTATAGACAGCGAAAGATCTTGTCAGTTTGTTAGTGTTTGAGCGCTTAATCGGCTGCTCGCACTGTATGCTTCCTGGGATGATGAAAATGTTTCGGAGTGTTCTATGGTCTGCTGGGGTAATAATATAGTGTAAAGCGCATAGAGCCTGCTGTTGAGCGGGGATATGCGCTATACAAATGCTATCTATTATTATTATTTAATAATAGCAATAGGAATCGTTCTCTTAGATGTTCTAACAAGCAATTCCTTTAATCTACCCCCCTCCCCCCACCCCCGCCATTTTTTCTTTCCCTCAAAGAAAAAAAAAAGAGGGACGGAGGTGTACTGCGCCCATCAGCGCTTGCAATGGCGGACGCCGAGAAGACGAGAGAAGCCAATTCCAATTCAGGGATAAACTCGAACTCAGGTCAAAGTAAACGGCCGTCGCGTGACGGTTGGCGACTCGTGATTATTGCAGTGGACGATGAAATTGTCGGCAGGAATGCACTAGAGGTATATCGTGTGTAGTGCACTTCAGGGTGTCTCAGAAGTCACAGTCAAATACATGAAGTAAAAACCATGATTCAACAATCATAATAAATATATTGTCATTATGTGTCACGACGCGGCAGATTCAGGCACCCGTCAATTTTTTGTCATGCAAAGTTATTGTTAAAGCTTGTTCATTAATTTGTCTATTTGTTGACGGAAAACTACCCATTTAGCGTGTATAAAAGTCGAGCTATTTGAGATTGAATGAAATGGGATGACCTGGTTTCAGCGGATAAATTAGCAAGACAATGCCCACCAAAGTTTAGAGGCTTCGAAAGCTTGAGAGTCCTTGGAAACAAAACAATTCACTGTTTGTTCGTGTAAACACAGAAATTTGTTTTTAAATGAAGATAAAAGGTACTGAACAATTTTTTTAAAATTCGATATAAATTGTCAAACCATCGGAAAAATGCCGGTATCTTCGATCTTTTTGACGGCGCCTGATTTTACTACAACGCCTTACACAATATAAATATAAACCGACAGACCTTTGGGTAATAATTAGAAACTGCGTCACCAAACAATAAACATACGCCATATAAAATTATGTGCACCAGCAGCCAGAACACCTACATCATAGATCCTCCAAACAGATCTAGTGGAAATGTACTGTAATACTTTGATAATCACTCTAGAGAACTCTGGATCTTCAAAATGGTTTTATAATTAATATATAATATCATGTAAGATGGACACAACTGCTAGATCGTACTACATTCATCTATATGGTTTTAAAGCGTTAGTTATTCACATGAACCAATACGCATAAAAGAATGTGAAAATGTGATGTATAAAACTTTAATGTGTCATGTAATTGTCGAAGATTAGAGGGTGGGTGGTTGGCGGGTGCTCTGGTGTGGTTTGCTTCTTCTTTCCTATCAAACATATATCGTCTTTATCTCCCATTCTTCTTTTTTATGTTTGTTACTCTCTTGTATCACCTCTAATCTTCTGGTGCTCATATGACCGAATGTAGTTGCGAGCGCCGTAAAACCTCTATTAAAACGAAAAATATTAGAGGTGTCACCAGAGAGTAACGAACAACCAAAAGAAGCTGGAGAAATAAGGAAAAAAAAGTTTGGCAGAGAGAAGGAGCAAACACAACCAGACCACAAGCCAACCACCCACATAATCAGTGTCTCTCCATCCCTAGTGGTACCATGACAACATCCATCGTCCTGATAACCTGGTGCACGTATGCCATGTGCCGAACTTCCGTGACAAGGTGGAGCCGAATATGGACCCTGTGGCCATTCTGAGACTGATGAAGAATGTTAACAACTTCGCAGAAGGTCTCAAATATATTTACGAGGGTCTTCTGTGTGAATTGCAGGTGTGTGTTGATGTTTATTTATATGAATTTTTGAATGTGCAGTATTACAAAAAAATGAAATTTCTTTGAAACTTTGAAACACCATTGGTGAAAGTGAAAGGGCATGTAAATATCAAGGCTACAAGATCTGTAATATTTATTTGGCCTGTATGTCATCATCACCATCTTCATCCAGTGCCAAATCTTCGACAAACATCGGCGATCATGGTTCTCCATTCATTCCTTTGCACAGATGCTCTCAAAAAAGATAGGATTCCCTGATCTGTTCCTATTACCCATTTGTTTAGGTTCCCTAAGTATGTCGTTCTGGGCCTTCCCCTGCCTCTGTTGCCCTCAATTTTGCCAGTGAGAGATAGATGTTCAAGACCATTATGTCTATTTATGTGTCCCAAAAACTGCATTTGTCGTTTCCTGATTGTTTTTAACATTGAGCGTCTCACGTGGGCTTCATCAAGCACTACCTCATTTGATTTCTTTTCTTCCACGATACTCTTAGCAGTCTCCTAAGAAACCGCATTTCTGTTGCTTCTATTTTATTTTCACTGTCTTTAATGATTGTCCAGCATTCACAGCCATATAGAAGGGTTGACCAAACAGAGCATTTCAGAACTTTCATTTTGGTGTTCATTGAGATGTTTCTATTTTTCAGGATTGGGCTCATTTGATTAAAATTAGCCTTAGCCATTGTAATTCTCCGTCTTATTTCTGTGGAACTTTTGGCATCAGATGTTATCATATATCCTAGATATTTAAACTGTTGGACTTGTTTGATCTTTTCACCTTGGATATCACCATGCATTCTGTTTTCTTTACATTCTACAATAAACCTTTACGTTCGCTTTCTGTCACAACAGTATCTAGAAGCAATTGAAGGTCCTTTTCTGAGCCTGCTATCAAAACTGTGTCATCTACATACCTGATGTTATTAATCTTTTCTCCATTTACTTTGAGACGTGGACATTCTTCTAAGTTTCTAAGGATTGTTTCACTGTACATGTTAAAGAAGTCAGGTGACATAACACATCCTTGCCTCACTATGTGAGTGAGACAGTAAAGGAGAGAGAGAATGAGGAAGAGAAAGAGAAAAAGAGAGACAGAAAGAGAGATCAATTCCTTTAATTCATTCAAATGTCAGCCCACGCCTTTTTGTGTTTAAGATAATGAGATAAAAGTTTAGAGAGAGGTTTACTTTTGGTTAGAACACAATATTATGTTACTGTTGTACTGTAAAGCGCTCAGCCACTGTGTACTTTAATCAGGTTTGAGCACTGTATCAATGCCATATTATATCGCTCGTTAATGTGTATATTGAGAGACAGAAAGAGAGACAGACAGACAGACAGACAGACAGACAAACAGACAGACAGACAGACAGACAGACAGACAGACAGACAGACAGA